CATTGAAATCACATTATGAAATCCTGTGTAGTCTGCAGTAAATCAAACAAACGGGCTTCCACATGGATTACTTGCCACTTTTGTGAAAATTGGTGTCACGCCCCTTATGCAGATATTCAAGAATTATCTACAAGCAGTATTAAATCAGGGAAGTGTTTTTGGGTATGCCTAAATGAGAGCAATCTGTGGACTAAAGTCACATTGGTATTAAAAGAGGATAACATCAAAGCAGCCTTCATAGAAAACCTGGAAGCATTCTATAACAGATGGGGAAATAAAAAGTCTGGGCTGGATGGTATCGCCCTTGGTGCGGATGCTGTCCTGGCCGACAGTAACTGTATGACTGGAGGTGCTGGCCATGTAGTCAGAAACTATAAGGCTGGAGGTGCTGCCCTGGTAGACAGTAACTGTAGGGCTGGAAGTGCTATCCTGGTAGACAGTAATGATGAGGCTGGAGGTGCTTTCCAGGTAGACAGTAACTGTATGCATGAGGGAATGCATATAAATGGCCTCGAGGGAAACAGGAGCTGTTGTGTGGAAACAAGTGTAGTCAAGGACACGATAAAACCAATATTACAAACTAGTAATGCAACAGGAGATAGCAAACAAGGGGACTCCACTAGTAACAGTGAGGATATATTACCAGAAACAACTGGTGAGAGCTCCATTGTTAGTACTAGTGAGGATAGGAATGAGACAGGGAAACATGCACCAACAGGGAATACAGTCACAAAAACCCAAGGCAAACGGAAACCACGCCTATGCACATATTATGCACTTGGTATCTGCAGGCATGGGAAATCTGGAAAAACAGATGGGACGTGCAACTTTGACCACCCTAGAAAATGCCGTGCCCATATGACAACAGGAAAATGCAAACTCCCTTCCTGTAAGCTTTTTCTCCCTGAAATGTGTCCCTCCTCAGTACAGGAAAGATAGTGTTATAACTTAAATTGCCAGGCATACCATCTAAAGGGGACAAAAAGATACAAAACATCCAGACCATGGGAAAACCTGGGTAGCCACAGCCACTCAAGAGGGAGAGGTTTTTTAGTGCCAGGAAGGAAAAAAACGGGCAGGAAATGACAGAAATCGTACACCAAATCCAGTCATTTTTGGAGTGGAACCACAGTTGATGGTCTTCACTCAAAACCAACAGATACAGATATTAGTGCCGGAAAAAAAAGTAGTCCCCCAGTACCACCAGTACCACCAGTCCGATGACATTCTTCTTTGCAAATATATAGGGTCTAAAGCCAGCAACGAACAACAAAATACCTTTCATCCGTGGACTGCTTGCAGAGGCAAATGCAATGTTCGCGACTTTCACTGAGACCCACATAAAGGATCACTTGGACAACGAAATATGGATCCCATTCAGATGCGACAGAGTGAACAGGCAAAAGGGGGGGGGGGAGGTTGGCCTGTATATCGCAGTCATTTGCACAGAACTGCTTAATGCCTCAAATGATGTAGTGGAAGTTTTAGCAGTAAAGATCGAGATCCAAAACCTAGTCATTGTGGTATTCTACAAGCCTCTGGATGCAACGTCCCAACAATTCCAGGAACAGCTGTTGAAAATTGACCACTGTCTGGAAAATCTTCCAGCTCCTGCACCCAACATCTTGTTCCTGGGGGATTTCAACTTAAGGCACCTAAAATGGAGGAATATAGCAAATAATGTTGTTGCAGTGATAACACCAGGAGGCAGCTCTGATGAAAACTCACACTCACACGAGCTTTTAAATCTCTGCACAAAATTCAATTTAAACCAGCAAATAATAGAGCCTACTAGACTGGAGAATACACTAGACCTCATCTTCACTAACAATGATGATCTGATACGAAATGTCACTATATCAAAAACAATATACTCAGATCACAACATAATCCAGGTTCAGACATGTATGCACGGAGCCCCAGACCGACAAAATGAGATTAGTCACGAGGGAGCATTCACCAAACTCAACTTCAATAACAAGAACATAAAGTGGGACCAAGTAAACCAAGTCCTAAACGATATAAGCTGGGAAGATAGACTAAGCAACACTGACCCCAACTTATGCCTAGAACAGATCAACTCTGTGGCACTCGATGTATGCTCAAGGCTTATTCCTTTAAGAAAAAGGAGGAGTAGATGTAAAATAAAAAGACAGGCGCTCCCTTTACAGGCGACGGAAAAGAATAACAGAGCGGCTAAAAGAGGCCAATATATCTGAAATGCGTAGGGAGACACTGGTCAGAGAAATAGCAAACATCGAACTAAAGCTAAAGGAATCTTATAGGAGTCAGGAATCGCGGGAAGAACTAAAAGCCATAAATGAAATCGAAAGAAACCCAAAGTATTTCTTTTCTTATGCCAAATCAAAGTCGAGAACAACATCCAGTATTGGGCCTCTACTTAAACAAGATGGGTCCTACACAGATGACAGCAAAGAAATGAGTGAGCTACTCAAGTCCCAATATGACTCAGTTTTTAGCAAGCCGCTAACCAGACTGAGAGTCGAAGATCTAAATTAATTTTTTATGAGAGAGCCACAGAATTTGGTTAACACAAGCCTATCTGATGTTATCCTGACGCCAAATGACTTCGAACAGGCGATAAATGACATGCCCATGCACTCTGCCCCAGGACCAGACTCATGGAACTCCGTGTTCATCAAGAACTGCAAAAAGCCCCTATCACGAGCTTTTACCATCCTATGGAGAGGGAGCATGGACACAGGCGTCGTCCCACAGTTGCTAAAAACAACAGACATAGCCCCACTCCACAAAGGGGGCAGTAAAGCAATAACAAAGAACTACAGACCGATAGCACTAACATCCCATATCATAAAAATCTTTGAAAGGGTCCTAAGAAGCAAGATCGCCACTCATCTAGATACCCATCAATTACACAACCCAGGGCAACATGGGTTTAGAGCAGGTCGCTCCTGTCTGTCCCAACTACTGGATCACTACGACAAGGTCCTAAATGCACTAGAAGACAAAAAGAATGCAGATGTAATATATACAGACTTTGCAAAAGCCCTCGACAAGTGTGACCATGGCGTAATAGCGCACAAAATGCGTGCTAAAGGAATAACAGGAAAAGTTGGTAGATGGATCTATAATTTCCTCACAAACAGAACACAAAGAGTAGTAGTCAACAGAGTAAAGTCTGAGGCGGCTACGGTGAAAAGCTCTGTTCCAAAAGGCACAGAGCTCTCATCTTGTTCCTCATCCTCATATCCGACATAGACAAGGATGTCAGCCACAGCACCGTGTCTTCCTTTGCAGATGACACCCGAATCTGCATGACAGTGTCTTCCATTGCAGACACTGCAAGGCTCCAGGCAGACATCAACCAAATCTTTCAATGGGCTGCAGAAAACAATATGAAGTTCAACGATGAGAAATTTCAATTACTCCGATATGGTAAACATGAGGAAATTAAAACTTCATCAGAGTACAAAACAAATTCCAGCCACAAAATAGAGCGAAAAACCAACGTCAAAAACCTGGGAGTGATCATGTCGGAGGATCTCACCTTCAAGGACCATAACATTGTATCAGTCGCATCTGCTAGAAATATGACAGGATCCATCCTTCAAAACTAGGGATGCCAAGCCCATGATGACACTCTTCAGGTCGCTTGTTCTATCTAGGCTGGAATATTGCTGCACACTAACAGCACCTTTCAAGGCAGATGAAATTGCTGACCTAGAAAATGTGCAGAGAACCTTCACGGTGCGCATAACGGAGATAAAACACATCAGTTACTGGTAGCGCTTGAAGTTCCTGGACCTGTACTCCCTGGAACGCAGGCGGGAGAGATACATGATTATATACACCTGGAAAATCCTAGGGGGACTAGTACCGAACTTGCACACGAAAATCACTCACTACGAAAGCAAAAGACTCGGCAGACGATGCAACATCCCCCCAATGAAAAGCAGGGGTGTCACTAGCACGTTAAGAGACAACACAATAAGTGTCAGGGGCCCAAGATTGTTCAACTGCCTCCCAGCATACATAAGGGGGATTACCAATAGACCCCTGGCTGTCTTCAAGCAGGCACTGGACAAACAACTAAAGTCTGTACCTGACCAGCTGGGCTGTGGCTCGTACGTTGGATTGCGTGCAGCCAGCAGTAACAGCCTTGTTGATAACGCTCTGATCCACCATGAGGCCTGGTCACAGACCGGGCCGCGGGGGCGTTGACCCCCGGAACTCTCTCCAGGTAAACTCCATGTAGGGAGGGAGAAGGGGCGAGGATGAATGATGGAGAGGAGTACATATGTTACCCCCCACCCCAACCACCACAACCTCCCTCACACAGTGTGTGAGCCTGTGTCCTGGGTCCTATGTCCTGGGTCCTATGTCCTGTGCCCTTTGTCCTGGGTCCTGTGTCCTGGGTCCTGGGTCCTGGGATGCTGCTGACCACACAGTACACACTGCTGACGATAAGCATCACAGCGCTGACCTCAATGTCACAGTCTCTCTAACTTTGTAAGTAATGGATGCGGGGAGTTTCGTGTGCAGGGGGAGGTGGGGAAGCCCATCGGGAGGGGGAGGAGGAAGAGGGCTGGGGAACCACCACAGTAGACGAGTTGGTTGTTAGGATTAGGTAAGTAAGAGAGAGAGAGAGAGAGAGAGAGAGAGAGTTAAAAAAGAGGGTAAGTCCCTATACTCATATAATTCTGTGTGAATGTGTCGAGTCTTAGCTCCTGGCCTCTTGCAGGGGAACCGATCCTACCTATCTGTGAAACTGTGTATACAATTTCACCCCGTCATCCAGCTCCTGCTACCTACCTTCAACTGGTAAATTGTTTATTCACATCTCTCTGATTCAGCTTTATCTTCAGTGTCCTCTTGTCCTCATTCCTCTGTAATCTTCTTATTTGTCTCAGGGGCCTCTCAGAACCTTACCTGTCTCAGGGACCTCTCAGAATCTTACCTGTCTCAGGGACCTCTCAGAACCTTACCTGTCTCAGGGACCTCTCAGAACCTTACCTGTCTCAGGGACTTCTCAGAAATTTACCTCTCTGCTTGTTCCTGAGTTCGGGGACGTCTTTGGGCAGGTGGTCATGGCTGTCGCTGCTGCTATTCCTGGAGGACGAAGAGGAGCCGTTGGCGACGGCAGCGAAGCGGGGCACTGACGGTGTCTGCAGGAGATACCAGGAAAGTGTGTTTACGCAATTGAGGCAGGCGGCATAGATTCTGTGTGAGGAAGGTCAAGCAGTGCAGAGCCAGGGTCATTCGCGTCTCTCTCTCTCTCTCTCTCTCTCTCTCTCTCTATCTATCTATCTATCTATCTATCTATCTATCTATCTATCTATCTATTTATCTATCTATCTATCTATCTGCCTCTCTCTCTTTCTCTCGCCCCTCTTCCAGTGCATTTACGATTAAGATCAGAAGAGTATATTTACGAGTGTTCCTGTGTCTTCGAAGAGATAAGGCAGTAGGGATGCATATTAGAGACGGGAGATTTATCCCCTGGACTAATGGTTTCCTTTCCCCGCTGACAGATAAAAATTGTTTCGCTATACCTTCTTCCTTTACTATATTTCTTACATCTTCCACATAAATTCCCAACGCCACTTGTTTGCCACTGAAGCTGTTATACTTCACTTGTGTACGGCAGCTATGGCAACTCTGGGCAAGTTCTAAACACGAATACTTTCGTTCGTATCTTTACACTTGATCACACACAAACACACACAGTCATTAATCATACGTAAATTCGGCTTCATTAGAGGCAGCAGCCATATAGGCGGTCATAAGTCATAGAGATAACAAGGCAGGTTTTCCTATTTACTGCCCATGATGGCTGAGGCGCACACATAGAGGCCTCGCACAGCTGCTTCCAACATATTTCTCAAAGTACAATTACTCATGTGTATGAAACTTACATCATTCTTAACTGACTGCAAACGGAGTTCGAACCCCTATCAATCTGTTCCTTTCATGCTACAAGTTACATTCCATCCGGCTCTGCTGTGGAAACTTCAATAAGAGGCTCTCACTCTCTTGTCACATGATAGGCTGGCACTGCCGAGAGCAACAACAGTAGCCCATGTGTATGCTTTCACAGAGCTGCTCCCGTCACCACAATATGAAGTTGGGTGCGTTCAACTTAAGGAAAGCTGTGATGTTACAATGTAGTTACAGATGAGTAGAACAAACTGCCACGTAGCGTCGTCAAGGCACATACTTCAGGTAGCTTTAGTGGATTAGACATATATGAAGGGAGTAGAAGGTCACTGAAGCCTGGTCTGGAACTGAAAATGAATATAAAACTGGGATACGAGAGCCCGGAAGTAGGTGAGATAGAAAGCAATAATTAAGAGACTTTAATGCACTATTGAAAACTTTATGAATAAAAGTTGCTTGTTTTACTAGTGGTATTTTTCAAGTCAGAAGACAACGCCTGAGGTACAAAGTCTTGCATCAGACAAAAGTGCAAGAGAGTGAAGTACAGAGGATGAGGAAACACATGGAGGACTAGCAGACATACTAGGTTTTGAAGGATGAAGATAAAGTACTGAGAGAGGTGACATACGAAGTCTTGAAGGATGAAGAAGGTTCTGAGAGAGGTGACATACGAAGTCTTGAAGGATGAAGAAGGTTCTGAGAGAGGTGACATACGAAGTCTTGAAGGATGAAGAAGGTTCTGAGAGAGGTGACATACGAAGTCTTGAAGGATGAAGAAGGTTCTGAGAGAGGTGACATACGAAGTATTGAGAAGGTACTGAGAGAAGTGAGGAGAGCAACAACTAAGGAACTGGTACAGGAAATATTCTACAAGATATAAGAAGGAAGGTAGCAGCAAGGAGACCTGGTTGACTGGTCCATCATGTCATGGCTCTGTTTTCACAATGTCTGCTCAGAACATGTGTTACAGGTTTTATTGTTGGAAAACTGCCTTGATTTTGAAAAAAAAATTGGTGTTGTAAATGCTACTTAGAGCAAATTCTATGAACAAATAAAGAAGAAATTGTATAGAATCCACTCTGAAACAGATTTTGCGCCTCACAGTAATAATAATAATAATGACCTTTGACCTCTGGCTGTCACATGCAGTGCCACCAAGAGTGCCAGGAAAAAGCAAAATACTGAATGTAAAACATTTACAAAAGAGTGTAAATTAGTACCAGCTCTGGGATTTACATTTTATTTCACCTTCTAATTACGTGTACAGGTTCCACTACACTCGTTCATTTTAAATCTCACATATTTACTATTTACATATACGTTTACATATATATAAGAATTAACTGTCATTGTGAAAATAGATGAATTGACAACTAATCCACGTATTGGAATGGAAAAACCTGACGACGTACCGGTCCGTCCTGGGTAATGAACCAGGTCTGTCCGTTCTGGGTAATGGACCTGGTCGGTCCGTCCTGGGTAATGGGCCTGGTCGGTCCGTCGTGGGTAATGGACCTGGTCGGTCCGTCGTGGGTAATGGACCAGGTCGGTCCGTCCTGGGTAATGGACCAGGTCGGTCCGTCCTGGGTAATGGACCAGGTCGGTCCGTCCTGGGTAATGGACCAGGTCGGTCCGTCCTGGGTAATGAACCAGGTCGGTCCGTCCTGGGTAATGAACCAGGTCGGTCCGTCCTGGACTTTCAAGACTTAATGAAGCGCTTTATATGACGATGCTGAAAAGATACTTAAATTCTACTATAAAACGTGTGCGCGTGTGTGTTGTGTGTGTGTGTGTGTGTGTGTGTGTGTGTGTGTGTGTGTGTGTGTGTGTGTGTGTGTGTGTGTACTCACCTATTTGTACTCACCTATTTGTGGTTGCAGGGGTCGAGTCCTAGCTCCTGGCCCCGCCTCTTCACCGGTTGCTACTAGGCCCTCTCTCTCCCCGCTCCATGAGCTTTATCAAACCTCGTCTTAAAACTGTGTATGGTTCCTGCCTCCACTACGTCATTTTCTAGGTTATTCCACTGCCTTACAACTCTATGACTGAAGAAATACTTCCTACTATCTCTCTGACTCATTTGTGTCTTCAACTTCCAATTGTGGCCTCTTGTTTCTGTGTCCCCTCCCTGGAACATCCTGTCTTTGTCCACCTTGTCTATTCCACGCAGTATTTTATATGTCGTTATCATGTCTCCCCTGACCCTCCTGTCCTCCAGTGTCGTCAGGCCGATTTCCCTTAATCTTTCTTCATAGGACATTCCTATGTGTGTGTGTGTGTGTGTGTGTGTGTGTGTGTGTGTGTGTGTGTGTTACAGAAAATTAGACATAAAATAACTAACGTGCTTGTTTCACTAACGATAGCATCTGAATAAAACCTCACAGTATTGTGGTTGAAACATTGCACCAACAACTCACACCAGAACAGTAACCCCGTGACAACGTTTCGGACCCTCCTGGCCCATTCTATACATTTTTTACGAACATTTGAGTCATTCAATAGCCATGGAGAGGCTGAGGTGGTGTGGTCATGTGAAAAGAATGATGCAAAACAGGACTGATTAGGCAGGTGAATATGAATCTGAGCTGGATGAAAGAGGATGTAGGAGACATTTGAGGAAGGCTGGGTGTAGGGTGCGTACCAGGTTTTGAGGATGGAAATAGAAGCATGTGTTTGCAGACAGAGAAACATACTCACGGGTAAGTCACCGTAGCTGGAGTGATCACAGGAACAACGACACTGGAACTGCTGCTGCTGCTGCTGCTGCTGCTGCTGCTGCTGCTGCTGCTGCTGCTGCTGCTGCTGCTGCTGCTGCTGTAGTTCTTGAGGTAGATTCTCTACACTCCTGCTCCATCGGTGGGGGCTCTTACCACTCTCCTTCATAATCTCTATTTGCTGCTGCTGTTGGTTGTGTTGGTGGCTCTTCTGGTGGTTGTAGAGTGTGTGCTGGTTGCTTCCTGGGTTGTCGTGGTTACAAGGACTGTTGACGAGGCTGCTCTTAACGTAGGAGTGCACCTGAGCTCTGCTCTGACCTCGCTCCTGGCCGGGGTAGGTGCGAGCCTCAAAGGAAGGGGACAGGAACTTTGCTGTGTTATTGTGGGCGTAGGAATCATCAGGGGCATGTGTGTGGGCGTGGGAGTCAAGAGGGTGGCCCAGAACATTGGTCAAACACTCCTCCACACTCCGGAGTTGGGGCAGCTGGAGAAGAAAGACGTATAAATTGCATTTAATGTGAGAATAAGAGGGAAAATCTAGACAAGTTCCACATTAAAGCAATAGAAATGAAGATTTCAAATGGCAGAATATTTTCAGTTCTCTTAACAAAATATATCGCAAAGATTACAGCAATTTTTGTAGATATAATAATAAGGATAATAGTAATATTGGTATAAATATAAATCTAGAGAGAGAGAGAGAGAGAGAGAGAGAGAGAGAGAGAGAGAGAGAGAGAGAGGTGTATAACTGTAAGTGTAGTCCATATACCCTGAGAGTTTACTTTAATCCATATTTTATAAATTAAAATATTCGTAACTGCTTTTGATCTCATTATATGAAGGCTTAATAATTTCTTCGTATTGTCGATAGGCTGTAAACCTAAAAAAAAAAATTAATAATAATAATAATGTCATGTTAGCGAGTTAAATAAGAGTGAATGAGCTCAAATGGCTTATGGGATTTGAAGTGTTGTTGGAGTGTGAGCATGGACAGGGAAATTACAATAATGGGTACGAATTCTGAACGGAGGATTGAACCTCCTCCCACTTCTTGCACTCGATGATTCACGCAGGTTTAGCGCTTCGTGAAACAGTGTAATACAATACATTGTTCGATTTCTGGGCAGGATGAGAGAACTAGGTAAGTCTTCTCACGCCTGTTGAGTCTGTTTACATAGCTATAAGTAGGTACCTAGTAAATAGGTACGTTGCAGAGTAATTTATAAGCCAGTCTTTTATAAACCAGTATTTTATAAAGGAGTAAAACCGTATGAGTTGTTAAGACCGAGGTCTGGTGCAGGCTCTATCCTCCGTCTGCTAGTTGTCCCCACTGAATGATGTTTCAGGAAATTTGTTGAGAAAGTTGCCTCATTACCACTAACAGCTCTCACTGAGACATACTTAAGAGTTACCCTGTGAGAGTTCCTCATAAAGTTATCCTGTGAGAGTTCCTCTCAAAGTTATCCTGTGAGAGTTCCTCTCAGTTACCCTGTGAGAGTTCCTCTCGGTTACCCTGTGAGAGTTCCTCACAAAGTTACCCTGTGAGAGTTCCTCACAAAGTTACCCTGTGAGAGTTCCTCACAGTTACCCTGTGAGAGTTCCTCACAAAGTTACCCTGTGAGAGTTCCTCACAAAGTTACCCTGTGAGAGTTCCTCACAGTTACCCTGTGAGAGTTCCTCACAAAATTACCCTGTGAGAGTTCCTCGTAAACTTATCCTCAGAGAGTCTTCTGTTAAAAATTCCCGAGAGAACTGCTCTGAGAGTTCCCTGAGGTCGTTGTTTCTGAGTATTTCCATTAACCCGCACGAGAGGTGGTTAATAAGTTTCTGGACGTGTGTGTGTGTGTGTGTGTGTGTGTGTGTGTGTGTGTGTGTGTGTGTGTGTGTTGTGTGTGTGTGTGTGTGTGTGTGTGTGTGTGTGTACTTACCTATTTGTTGTTCTAGGGGACGAGTCACAGCTCCTAGCCCGCCTCTTCGCTGGTCGGTACTAGGTCCACTCTCTCGTTGCTCTATGAGCTATATCGTATCTCTTCTTAAAGCTGGGCAGGGATCCTGCCTCCACTACATCACTCTCCAAAGTGTTCCACTTTCTGGCAACCCTATGGCTGAAGAAATACTTCTTAACATCCCTGTGACTCGTCTGAGTCTTCAACTTCCAATTGCGATCCCTTGTTGCTGTGTCCCATCTCTGAAACTTCCTGTCCCTATCCATCTTGTCAATTCCTCTCAGTATTTTATATGTCGTTATTATGTCCCCCCTCTCTCTCCTGTCCTCCAGCGTCGCCAGGTCGATTTCCCTTAACCTCTCCTCGTAGGACATACCCCTTAGCTCTGGGACTAGTCTTGTTGCAAACCTTTGCATTTTCTCTAATTTCTTGATGTACTTGACCAGGTGGGTTCCATACTGGTGCTGCATATACCAATACTGTCCTGACATACACAGTGTAGACTTGTGAATGATTCCTTACTAAGGTTTCGAAATGCTATTCTTAGGTTTGCTAGGAGCCCATATGCTGCAGCAGTTATTTGGTTGATGTGCGCCTCAGATGTAATTGGTATTATCCTCACCCCAAGGTCCTTTTCCTTGAGTGAGGTTTTCAGTCTCTGGCCCCCTAACCTGTACACTGTCTGCGGTTTTCTTTGACCCTACCCAATCTTCATGACTTTACACTTGGTGGGGTTAAACTCCAGGAGCCAGTTTTTGGACCAGGTTTGCAGCCTGTCTAGATTCTTTTGTAGTTCTACCTGATCCTCATCCACTTGAATTCTCCGCATTAGCTTCACGTCGTCTGCAAACAGGGACACTTCTGAATCTATCCCTTCCGTCCTGTCATTCACATATACCAGAAACTGCACCGGCCCTAGGACTGACCCTTGTGGAATCCATCTCGTCACAGGTGCCCACTCTGACACCTCGTCCAGTACCATAACTCATTGTTTCATTCCTGTCAGGTATTCTCTGATCCATTGCAGTCCCTTTCCTGTTATTCCTGCCTGCTCTTCTAGCTTTTGCACTAATTTCTTGTCCGGAACTGTGTCGACAGCCTTCTTACAGTTCAAGAAAATGTAATCTTCCCACCCCTCTCTTTCTCCTGCCTTACTCCTGTCAACTTGTCATAAAACTCCAGTAGATTTGTGACACAGGATTTCCCCTCCCTGAAACCGTGCTGGTTATCGTGTATTAGCTCATTCTTGTCTAGAAACTCCACCAGTCTATTCCAGATAAGCTTCTCCATGTAGACTGCCTGTACTGTCTGCACAGACAGCCCATGCTGTCTGCCAGCTTAGTTCATATTTTGCGCCATGCTGGTGCTGCCACCTATAGGCCTTGCTACTTCAGTATGCCCAGACTTGCCTCTCTCTCACTCACACAGCAACCTAGCAGGAAGACACAAGTACTCCCAGCTCTCTCTCGTGGGATGGCCCTGCCTGGGCCATGGGCACAAACACACAAGCCTGTGTACCCACCATGACAATTTAAATAAAGTAAGAAGCCTCCGAAGAAGTGTATCATTAACCACCCGCTACCATACTACCAAATAATCCCTTTTATAAATGGTAGCAGCGGTGGTCGCAGCAGTTGTTTGCCCGGAGAGAGGAAGGAGAGGTATGAAGTCATCTTCACTTCATCACCCTACACAAGAAGCATCCGTCTCTCAACGAGTTATCCTGATGTCGTGTCTGCACGTTTGAGCATCCAGACACAGGTACAAGCAGGATCCAGCCGAAATTTACCGAATTTCTTCGAGAATTGTAAGTGACCCCACGCTACAGCGTCCCACGCTGTTTCTCAAGTCACGTGTTCAGCGTCACTTGTATGTTGCTGCTGTTGTTGTTCAGCTCAGCACAGCTGTTTCAGCAAGCCAGAGGTGAGCTTTGTGGTGATTTCTGCGTCCAGTGTGAGCTTCTCCACGTGTTTGTGGGTGGGGGAGGAGAGGAAGTGGCTGTTCCTCACCTTGCCCATGCTCGCCCTACTCACGCTCACCCGTCTACCATACACTCACCACTGCTCACTCCCTCTGCTGTGTTTTCTGCTATTTTTCGTGTGAATTCGTCGCCAGTGCTGTGTATCCGAGGGCCCGAGGCCACTCGAAGCTACATGGATCAGCATGCTACGTAGATCACGACGCCACATGGGTGTAAGCGATGTCACGTGTATCTACAAGTCACATGAGTTACCAGATGTCCCAGACCTCATGCTGTGGTCTGCTGCCCGCATCACATCGACGTCACCCACGATGCTGGCCGACTTCATGACGTCACGATGTCTGCTGACGTCACCTCACGATGTCTGCCTGACGTCACCTCGAGATGTCTGCTGACGTCACAGTGCTGCTGACATCACGCCTGACATCACATGATGTCACCATCGAGTGTTCAGTAATTATTAAAATATTGTCGAGAAGACTAAGAGAAGATATATGTCGTGTGTTAATTCCTCTCAGTCAGTGTTCTCACTTTTTAGTATATGTCTTAGTGTCAGCTTTGTGCACAGAAAAGTATCATTTGCTAGTTAAAGTTTCCGTGTGTCCAGTGAGGTCTGAGTCAGACCTGAGTAGCACCACTGTGTTAAGTCACCCGTGTGACCAGTGTGTTTGACAGCTATCAGACAGCCCCGAGTGACCGAGCCCTCTTGTACAGAAAGCTTTTATGCTCGTCGTTCGTGATGTTCTGCAGAATCGTACCTGCTACGATTCCCATCGAGATTTGTTTCACTTCACCTCCAGACCGTCAGAGTGCAGTTATATGTAGAGAAACAAGTCTGGGGACGCTTAGACTAACCTCTGCTATAACTCCAACTGCCGAGAGAATGATACTCGCCAAGCCGCAGTTAGCCCTGTCGGCAAGCACTTTGTCAGCCTCGTGTCACAAGCTTCAGTGAGCAGCCTGCACAAAGATGATGTCACTTTGACTGCTAGCTCTCTCACTGCAGTCTGGTGTATGATGTTACGACTCCCAGATGCTTCGCCCAGTCGTCTCTGCCATGACTCGCTCCACAACTCGCTCCACGCTCGCCGGCAGTGACAGCCCAGCGACAGTACCAGTCGAGAAGTGTCCTCCTGAGTCGCTTGCCAGAAGTCCTGCCCAGTTGCCGAGTTTTGTCGACGCCTCACTCGAGGGCACCAGCATGTGCCCCAGGTTGAGTGAAAACCTGCAGCGACTCCTACGATGACTGCTTCACCGTTCCAGAGGAGACTGTAACCTGTTACGTCACAGCTCAGCCGCAGTGATGTCTCCTGTGTTGCAGTATCTGTCCAGACGCAGGAAGGCATGCAGTGATGCCCTTCGACGCTCACTGCCTTTGACCACGATGTTTAGCACACCCCACATGTTTTTTTCTTCCCTCCCTGTAGGAAGTTTTTTTTTCCATGTCCATATGTATATATATGTTTTTATTTTGTGTTCTGTGCCCTGTTCCTATGAGAGAGAGACCGTGTTCCTTTTACCACCAGTATTGTCGCGTCGGGACGACGCGCGGTAGGT